AGCTCACCTTAAATAGGTTTAACCAGTAAAGGATATTTATTGGCTTATTATTGTGATGTCCCCAGACTACTTTTGGTAAGGTCTTCATTGATCTCTAATCAGCAAATCCAAGAGTTTGAATTGTTCTCTTGAGTTGAGAAGGCTCTTAAGTGATGAGTATTTCAAGCCCAGTGATCCGGCATTTAGTCTTGAGTAGATACTGTTTTTCCTTTACTTATATGTGCTAGGATATGGGATTTGTGAAGGTCTTCAGAAAGAATGTTTATGGGTATAGTCTTAAGGCTGCTTGAACTTTATCATTGTCACTCCCTTATCAGTTAGGTATTCTCTCCTTTGGGCAAACATCCTTTTATAATACTTATTATAATGTATTTATTTGTGTGTTTCTCCACTACACTGAGATTTCTTAGGGAGTATAGAGGTTGTTCTTACTCATTTTTATTCCCAGTGCCCAGTTTAGTGCCTGGAAGGTACTGCTCAGTAAATATTTGTCAGTGACTGAGTATTGGGTCAATGATGATGAGTATTACATAAGCCTTAACTAAAGTCATTTCACAGTGACCAAACTGAGGAGGAGGAAGAGGGTGGTGGAGATGGGGGGAATGAGGGTTGGAATAGTGGGGGTATTACTTTTTGTGGAGAGAACTGTCTTGTACTTTAATGTATCCTGAAAGTCTAACACATAATCTAGTATGTATTGAGTACTCATTAAAATATATTTGAATGAATGAATGAATGAAAAGATTACTCCCCTAGTTTAACTGTGGTCTTAGACTATTTAAAGTTAACCTGGTATTTTTGGAAACACACTCTCATTGCCCAGAACTGAAACTACCAGTTGTGACCCCTCCCCTCATTTTTTTCATGGCTAGGTTGCAGGGAGTTTGGTTTACTGCCCTTCGTATCTTTTTAAAATTATTATTATTATTATTATTATTATTATTTTGAGACAGTATCTCACTCTGTTGCCCAGGTTGAAGTGCAGTGGTATGATCTCGGCTCACCTACGCATCCTCAACCTCCTGAGCTCAAGTGATCCTCCCACCTCAACCTCCTGAGTAGCTGGGACTACAGGCATGTGCCACCACACCTGGCTAATTTTTTTTATTTTTTGTAGTGACAGAGTTGCACTAAATTGCCTAGCTGGTCTCAAACTCTTGGGCTCAAGCGATCCACCAACCTTGGCCTCCCAGAGTGCTAGGATTACAGCGTGAGCCACGGTGCCCAGCCATACCCATCAGATCTTTCTGCTGAACCTACTAACTGAGATCAGAGCTGCTACTCTGGAGCTTAGCTAAGGAGTAAAGGGGGAACTGAGACTTCTGCCAAGAGCCCCTCTCTCCTACCATCCTATCCCACCTGCTTTTGGTCTCTAACATTCCTCATTGTGACAGCTTCTCCTCCTTTACCCTGTGCTAGCGTGTTCCTGTCTCAGGGACTTAATCATTTGTTAAGGGGAGATGGAGATGTCTGACCGTGGTGGACACAGTTCTTTGCTCAGGAAATTGGAACCCACTCTTTTCTTCCTAACCCCAGACAGCTGTGCCTCTGGCTTTCTTTGTTTAGCCCAAGGCTGAGGGGTAAAGCTCTACCTCATTCTGGCCTGCAGGCTTTTCTATCTCTGGTGTTTGGAGCAGACTCTAAGGTTTTTCTGTTTTGTATAATAAAAACAAAAAAATACTGATTTTGTTGCTAATAAGAATTTGTAAGGAAATATTTCTCTTAATATTGGAGTTAATACTTTGAACATTAATGTGAAGTGTTTAGAAAGCTTATAAAGAAATGAGATTGGCCGGGAGCAGTGGCTCATGCCTGTAATCCCAGCACTTTGTGAGGCTGAGGCTGAAGGATCATTTGAAGTCAGGAGTTTGAGACCAAGCCTGACTGACATAGTGAAACCCTGTCTCCTCTAAAAAATACAGAAATTAGCTGGGCGTGGTGACGGGCACCTGTAATCTCAGCTACTCAGGAGTCAGAGGCAGGAGAATTGTTTGAACACAGGAAGCAGAGGTTGCAGTGAGCTGAGATCGTACCGTTGCACTCCAGCCTGGGTGACAGAGTGAGATTCTGCCTCAAAAAAAAAAAAAAAAAAAAAAAATGAGATCATCAGTACTGTCATTTCCTTCATTAGAAGAGTTAGTACTGTTATTCTTTTTGATGTGAATGAAAAGGGTTTAAGACTACTTTTTGTTTTTTCCTTTGGGAAATAAATCCATGGGTAATAACAGCCAAATTAAAAGTTTTAATTAGAACTGATTGTCTCTATTCCTATTTTCATTCAACCAGTATACTTGTTGGAAGAGGAGACTATAAAAACGAACATACCATTTCAATGGAAAATTTGCGATTGTGATAGACATGTTATTTATGGATATTTTCAGTCCCGAGGAAAGGTATTAGAACCAATTGTAAGAGAGATGGGGGCCAGGTGTAATGGCTCACGCCTGTAATACCATCCGAGAAAGGTGGATCACCTGAGGTCAGGAGTTCGAGACCAACCTGGCCAACATAGTGAAACCCCGTCTCTACTAAAAATATAAAAAATTGGCTGGGCGTGGTGGCGGGCACCTGTAATCCCAGCTACTTGGGAGGTTGGGGCAGGAGAATTGCTTGAACCCTGGAGGTGGAGGTTGTAGTAAGCTGAGATCACGCCATTGCACTGCATCCTGGGCAACAAGAGCAAAACTCAGCCTCAAAAAAAGAAAAAAAAGAGAGAGAGAGATGGTATCAGGTACTGCAGATTCTTAGAGTAGCTTCTGATTTTGCTCAGCCTTATTTATAAGGAGATTTATCTACTGTGAGGCTCATTTAGTAGGCACTTGGGAGTCCAGTGTCATAGAAAGTTGTTAATTTTAGAGTTACGTCATAGTCTTCTTTAGCAATGAAAATCTTTCACAGAATAAGGCTTACATTTTTTTAATGTTTTTGACTAATGTAGTTAACAGGTTAATTTATATTGGCATCAAGCCCAGATCTGATGGCTGTAAACTCAGTGGTTGGCTGATATAGTAAAACTGTAGTTTCGTTTTCTTGTGGTTTGGTTTAACCTTTGCATTCAAGAGTTTTAGTAGATCTCATGTGGTCTGGTCATATGTGTAGTGGTCATACCACACCAGGCATAGCATTTCCGTTCCACTGTGACTTGATTTTTTTACAGAATTAAGCTTTAGTACAATTTAATCTGTCAGAGGAAGGGAGCCTTTAAGTTCCTGAGCATGGGAATTCATTTTAGGAATTTCTCTTCTCTTTCCTCCCCTCCCCTCCCCTCTTTAAAATTTTTGGAGTCCCACTGTTACCCAGGCTGCTCTTGACCTCTTGGGCCCAAGTGACCTTAGCCCCCCAAGTGTTGGGATTGTAGGTGTGAGCCACTGTGTCCTGCCTTCTTTTGTTTTTGAGACAGGGTCTTACTCTGTTGCACAGACTGGAGTGCAGTAGTGCAGTCATAGCTCACTATCACTTCAGATTCCTGGCCACAAGCAGTCCTTCCACCTTAGCTTCACAAAGTATTGGGATTACAGGCATGAACCATTGCACCTGGACTCTTTTTTTTTCTTTTTTTAAAAATTCCTTTCTAAAGGGAAAAGAACCTAAGGTGGGTGGTTTCCTATAAACCTCCATTGCCTTTTTTTGTTTTTGAGACAGAGTCTCATTCTGTTGCCCAGGCTAGAGTGCAGTGACCACAGCCCACTGCAACCTCTGCTTCCCGGATTCAAGCAGTTTTCCTGCCTCAGCACCCCTGAGTAGTTGGAATTACAGGCACATGGGACCATGCCCAGCTAATTTTTATATTTTTAGTGGAGACAGGGTTTCGCCATATTGGCCAGGCTGGTCTTGAACTCCTGAGACTTCAAGTGATCAGCCCACCTACCCGCCTTGGCCTCCAAAAGTGCTGAGATACAGTCATGAGCCCCCACACCTGGCCCTTATAGCCTATTTTCTAGTATTTCTTGTTTATTATTTTCTCTTTGGATTTGTTTCATTTTGATCATTGAAAATATGCAAAGGATGGAATCTTAATTTTGGAATTATTTTTCCTGGTTGAAATGGGAATTATAGTGGTTTTTATGGCATTTCCCCTAATCTATTAATGTGGGGAGGGTTGTGGGGAAGGAAGAGCTGTCTTTTTGAGATTATTGGGAAGGGAAACTATTTAATGGCAGAATTATACAACTAGATTTTATTTTTATGAGGCCTACTTTGTTAATTTAAATTTGTTTGCTCTACATTCATGAAGTCAGTTATTGGAAACCATGTAATATATGTCAGCTATCAAAGTTAAGTGACTTTTATCTGATACGAGTTGTATTAAAATGAACGTAGAGAATTGATGCCTTTCCAGATGTTTTCCCGATACCTTAGGGTTTTTGTTGTTGATTTTGTTTTGAGATAGGGCCTCTGTTATCCAACCTGGAATACAGTGGTGCCATCATAGCTCACTGCAGCCCAAACCTCCTGAGCTCATGGGATCCTCCTGCCTTGCTTCCAGAGTATCTGGGACTACAGCTACACTGCACCTTACTAATTTTTAAAATGCTTTTGTTGAGACACAGTCTTGCTATGTTGCCTAGGCTGGTCTCTAACTCCTGGGCTCAAGCAGCTCCTGCATTGGCTTTCTAAAGTTCTGGGATTATAGGCGTGAGCCACCAAGCCTGTCCTGATTTAGCAGTTAATTAAATATAAGTGGCCTCTCATTCTCAGGTGCTCTTACAGTATGAAAATGGAAGTTGTAAAGTTTTTAAAGTAACTCAGTGGAATAATAGGCAGTGGAGACTAGGAAGGGTGAAGGAGTGAGGGTGGATGATGAGAAATTACTTAATAGGTACTGTGTGTTATTTGAATGATTGATACCCTAAAAGCCCTGACTTGTCCATTACACAATCTTGCACTTAATGACATTGCACTTGTACCCCATAAATTTATATCAATAAAAAGTCATGTCATCTGTTAGAAAAATTGTAATAGAATAACTAAATTTATGGTATGTCACCATTTCTTGGCAGGACTTTGTGTCATTGTATCAAGATTTTGAAAACTTTTATACAAGGAACCTCTACATGAGGATAAGAGACAACTGGAATCGGCCAATCTGTAGTGTGCCTGGAGCCAGGGTGGACATCATGGAGAGACAGTCTCATGATTATAACTGGTCCTTCAAGTGAGTCTTTGTTGGGAAATTATTTCATGACAACAACTACAAAAGGGTTTCTTCATTTGAGAAAATATGTTATTGCAAATTGAGTATTTTCTCAAAACAGGAGTAGTAGCTAGGATACAATACAATATGATTGATTTCCTATTGTGTTTGATCCTGTGTTAGATTATAGTTCAGAACGAAATTTGACTTATTTATTTATTTTTTGAGACAGAGTTTCACTCTGTTGCCCAGGCTGGAATACAGTGGTGTGATCTCGGCTCACTGCAACCTCTGCCTCCCAGGTTCCAGCAATTCTCCTGCCCCAGCCTCCTGAATAGTTGGGAGTACACGAATGCACCGTCATGCCTGGCTACTTTTTGTATTTTTAGTAGAGATGGGGTTTCACCATGTTGGTCAGGCTGTCTTGAACACCTGACCTCAAGTGATCTGCCCCCATCAGCCTCCCAAAGTGCTGGGATTACAGGCATGAGCCACTGTGCCCGACCTGGCTTATTTACTTTTTAAAATAACTCCTATTGATAAGAAACAGTATACAAAAGTCTAGTCCATTTTATTTTTGGTCTTACTTTTTAAAAAAATAAAAAAGAAAAGCTATCCTTTCCATTATGTCACTTAACAGAATCAAGTATCTGAATTTATTTCTGGCTATTTTGATTTCTCAAATGATTTAAGGGTGATATGTGGATTGTTTCCATTTAAATGAACTGAGTCGTTTGGAAAACTTTTTATGTTTTTAACATTATTTTATTTATTTATATTTTTGAGACAGAGTCTTAATTTATTGCCCAGGCTGGAGTGCCATGTCATGATCTTGGCTCACTGCAACCTCCACCTCCCAAGTTCAAGTGATTCTCCCACCTCAGCCTCCCTAGTAGCTGGGACTGCAGGGATGCACCACCACACCCAGCTGCCTTTTGTATTTTTAGTAGACACGAGGTTTCACCATGTTGGCCAGGCTGGTCTCGAACTCCTGGCCTCAAGTGATCTGCCCACCTCGGCTTCCCAAAGTTCTGGGATTACAGGTGCGAGCCACTGTGCCTGGTCTTAACATTGTATTGTTTAGACTGGACAAGTATTACATGATTAAATTGCTATTATAAAAAATAAATAATGCAGATAAACTGTTAGTTCCCATGATGTGTTCCTCTGCACGTCCACCCTCTTGCAAATCCTGCTTCACTTCCCAGAGGTGACTGTTACCACTTTATTTTGTATTGCTTCTCAAGATCTTTTCTGTGGGGATATGTTTATAGTGTATCTACTGGGGTTACATGCAGGTAGTTATTTTTCCATTATGGAATTGGTCTGGCGCAGTGGCTCATGCCTGTAATCCCAGCACTTGGGGAGGCTGAGGCGGGCGGATCATGAGGTCAGGAGGTCAAGACCATCCTGGCTAACATGGTGAAACCCTATCTCTACTGAAAGTACAAAAAGTTAGCAGGGCATAGTTGCCTGTGCCTATTGTCCTAGCTACTCGGGAGGCTGCAGCAGGAGAATGGCTTGAACTTGGGAGGCGGAGGTTGCAGTGAGCCAAGATTGCGCCACTGCACTCCAGCCTGGGTGACAAGAGCAAAACTCTTGTCTCAAAAAAAAAAAAAAACCATTATTTTACAGCTTGCTTTTTTAGCTTGCTCGTATTGGTATCACCCTTCTTGTGCATATTCACAGCAAGTTTATTATTTGTAGTGGCTATATCGTATTTTACAGTATAGATGTGCCATAGTGTGACAGGCTGGACTGTGTTAACACCCAAAATTTCAGAGAATTAAAACAGTAACAGTTTATCCTTGTCCATATTTCATATTCATCCTAGGTTGGTGGGGCCCCTGAACCATGTTGTCCTTAGCTAGGGGCTGAGGCTGCGTCAGCTTCCACCATATGGAATGTCACTGGTCCCTGTCCTGAGGAACGGGTGTGGCAAATTGTGCAGTGGCTCTTAAAGGATCCTCATGTGTATTTATGCTCATGTGTGGCAATCACTGAAGAGTATATATATCTTTTTATGGATAAGTACTGCCAAACTGCCCTCCAAAAAACAAACAAAAAGTGTCCTCTAAGATAAGTGACTGTCCTGGGCAACACTGGATATCATTAGTTTTAAAATCTATTTATCACTATTAATAAATGAAAATTAGTTATTTTAACTTCTATTTCCATAACTGGTAGTGTGTTTGAGATTTTTTTATATAGACTTTGTTCTCTCTGCTTCCTTTTGTGTTACCAGTGCATTTACTATTACATTTAAGTACTTTTTTGCCCATGAATTTCATTGTTTTATGCTATTGATACACAGGTATACAGGGAATATAATAAAAGGTGTTATAAACATGGGTTCCTACAACTATCTTGGATTTGCACGGAATACTGGATCATGTCAAGAAGCAGCCGCCAAAGTCCTAGAGGAGTATGGAGTTGGAGTGTGCAGCACTCGGCAGGAAATTGGTAAGTGAAAGCTGTATTTGGCCAGCTGCTGTTTTGAAACTGTTTTAGTCAGGGACAAATAATAGTAATATAGACCTAGAGTACCTAATATTCACACTTTGTCATGTCATTTGGATGAGGTGAAGAATCCTTTGTTTTTCTGAAGTGTGATGCATGATTTTAATGCTTTCAACACATTCTGAGATGTATTTATCTTTCCCGATGTGTTATACATATAGAATGTCTCTTGAAAAGTCTTGCCAGTATTTGTTTCATTTATAACTTTAATGTTGATTTCATTGGCTTTTGCAAATGTTAGTGGTTAAGAGTGCCACTTATTAGGACACTGGCCGTATGAGAGTTAATCTGCTTTCATACTGATTAATTAGGACTAATAATAATTCCAGCCTTATAGAGCTCTTTTAAGACTTAAGTAAGCTAATCCATGTAGAGCACTTGGAAAATAGTGCACAATAAATAGAAACTCTTTTTATTATTGTTATAAGTTCATAAAATATAAAAGTAATAGCTTTATATAAGGAGATTCAATTTATTTTAGTTCAGAGGAAGATTTCAGATTTTTCCAATTTGTTTCAGAGAACTGATAACCCTAGAAGTCATGAAAACTTTCCAAATACTTATTACTGTGAATTACCCCTAAACACACATTCAAAGAACAGTTCATTATTAGCTATTTCTCAGGGTTCTAGGGATTGGAAAGCACAGTTGGGTGGTTCCTACCCAAGGTTCCTCTCACGGTTGCACTCAGTGGTGGCTGTATGGCTGGAGACCTCTCAAGCCTTCTTCATTCACATGTTTCACCTAGGCTAGGGTGGCTGGAGCTCTGTGTGGCCTCTCCATGTTTCTAGCTTGGGCTTCTTCATACCATGGTGGTCTTGGGAGAGCTGTTTATCATGCATGGCAGCAGGCCTCTAGAGCAAGCATTCAAAGATACCTGTGACTGATGCCAGGAACAGTGGCTCATACCTATAATTCCAGCACTTTGTGAGGCCAAGATAGGAAGAGCAGCTGAGCCTAAGAGTTCGAGATCAGCCTGAGCAACATAGTGAGACACTGTCTGTACAAAAAATAAAGTAGCCGAATGTGGCAGCACATGCATGTGATTCCAGTCACTCAGAAGGCTGAGGCAAGAGCACCCCTTGAGCCAAGGAGTTTGAGGCTGCAGTGAGCTATGATCGTGCCACTGCACCCTAGCCTGTGACAGAGTGAAACCCTGTGTCAAAAAGCAAAAACAAGGATACTGAGTTGAAAGCTGGAAGGCTTATTATGCCCTAGCTGTACAGGTCCAGAATATCACTTAAACACCTCTTCCTATTGGTCACCCCAGATTCAAGGGTTGTGGGGATTGCCCACCTCTACCTCCAAATGGGAAGAGCAAGAAAGAATTTGCATCCATATTTAATCTTCCACAGCAACTCTGTCAACTCACTCAATTTAAAACAAAATGAAGAAAGGAAAAAGGAAAAGTAAAATTGTGCAGATTCAATATCTATTTATTTAGATAGATAGATACATAGACATATAGATAGATTGATACATAGATAGATGCAGGGTCTCTGTTGCCCAGGCTGGATTGCATTGGCGCCATCTTAGTTCACTGCAACCTCCGTCTCCTGGGTTCAAGCACTTCTTCTGGCTCAGCCTCCCGAGTAGCTGGGATTACAGGTGCCTGCTACCATGCCCGGTTAATTTTTGTATTTTTAGTAGAGAAGGGGTTTCACCACGTTGGTCAGACTGGTCTCGAACTCCCGACCTCAGGTGATCTGCCCTCCCAAAGCCGTGGGATTATAGGTGTGAGTCACCATGCCTGTCCCACAATCTAATTTTAAATATTTTCATTCCTCCTAAAAGAAACCGCATACTTAGTAGCATTCATTGGATACTGTTTCCCTTCCCCCTACAAGTCCTTGGCAACTAGTAGTATACTTTTTGTCTTTCTAGATTTGCCTATTTTGGACATTTCATATAAAAGGAATTGTATAACATTTGGTCTGCGTCTGGCTTCCTTCACTAGCACAATATTTTCAAGATTCATCTGTGTTGTAGCATGTAATAGCATTCCATTCTTTTATATGACTGAGTAATAATCCTTTGTGTTGGAGGTGCCACATCTTGTTTATTATCCACTTACCACTTGATAGTCATTTGGGTTGTTTCTGCTTTTTGGCTATTGTGAATAGTGCTGCTGTGAACGTGGGTGTACAAGTTTTTGTATGATATATTTTTGTTTCTCTTGGGTTTATATTTACAAGTGGAATTGCTAAGTCATATGGTAACTCTGTGTTTGACTTTTTGAGGAATTGCTAAACTGTTTTGCAAAGAGATTGTACTGTTTTACAATCCCCCCCTCGATGTATGAGAGTTCCTCTTCATTTTTATATCATCTTCCAGTCATCTTGTTTGTAGCCCAACTTTAAACCTTGCTTACTTTGTTGCCTGTTGTCTCTGGTTTTTAAGCTTCTCTGGGGTTCCAAACGGTAAATTTACTTGATTTTCAAAGAATTCCACTCTGTAAGGTCATAGATATGACCTTTTTCTAACTCTGTCATTTTCCAGTTGTATTGGCTTCCTGTGGCTGCCGTAACAAAATATCAGAAACAGAGTGATTCAAAACAACAAAAATTTCTAGTCTCATAATTCTGTGGGTTATAAGTTTGAGATCCAAGTGTCAGCAGGGGGCCATGCTCTCTGATGCTCTGGAGAATCCTTCCTAGGTTCTGGTGTTACCAGCAATCCATGACGTTCCCTGGCTTATAATACATCACTTCATCACATGGCTATCTTCCTGTGTGTCAAACATTGTCGTCTTCTGGCCAGGCACAGTGGCTCATGCCTGTAATCTCAACACTTTAGGAGGCCAAGGTAGGTAGATCACTTGAGGTGAGGAGTTGAAGACCATCCTAGCCAACATGGTGAAACCCTGTTTTTACTAAAAATGCAAGAATTAGCCAGGCATGATGGAATGTGCATGTCTGTAATCCCACCTACTCAAGAGGCTGAAGCAGGAGAATCACTTGAACCTAGGAGGCAGAGGTTGCAGTGAGCCAAGATTGCACCACTGCACTTCACCTGGGCAACAGAGTGAGACTCTGTCTCAAGAAAAACAAACAAACAGCATTGTCTTCTTCTGTGTTCCCTCTGTGTATGTCTATCTCTGTGTCCAAATTTCCCTTTTCTATAAGGATATTAGCATCCCCCCAATTGCCTCATTTTAATTTGATCACCTCTGGAAAGTCCCAGTTTCCAAAGAAGGTCACATTCTTCTGGGAGTGAGGACTTCAAAATATCTTTTTGGTGGGACACAGTTGAACCCATAACATCATCCTTCTATATATTTTCCATTTTCATTCATTGTGTTTAGAATTACAGATGTTCACTAATTAATAAAAAGTTGAGCCTTTTGCTTTTATTTCTTCTTTATTCAGTTGTTTTGTGTTGATTTTCAAGAGGAAAATGGGAGTAGAACATTTTTTTTTTTGAGACGGAGTTTCACTCTTGTTACCCAGGCTGGAGTGCAATGGCGCAATCTCGGCTCACCGCAACCTCTGCCTCCTGGGTTCAGGCAATTCTCCTGCCTCAGCCTCCTGAGTAGCTGGGATTACAGGCACGCACCACCATGCCCAGCTAAGTTTTTGTATTTTTAGTAGAGACGGGGTTTCACCATGTTGACCAGGATGGTCTCGATCTCTTGACCTCGTGATCCACCCGCCTCGGCCTCCCACAGTGCTGGGATTACAGGCTTGAGCCACCGCGCCCAGCCTGGGGGTAGAACATTTTTATTCCCCTATCTTAAAGCAGAGTTTCTAGCTCTCACTCCAGAAATAACAACCCTTTTGATCTAATCCTGTGGTTAAAGGAGCATTGTGCAGTGATGACATAATAAGGATACCTTATACTTTTATGGCATTTTATATTTTATAAAGTGCTCAAACATTATCTCTCTTGATCCTCACAACAATGTCATGAGGTAGATAGGGCAAATTATTATTGCTATTTAGCAATATTTAGCTCAGGGAGATTCTAAGTGCTTTGATTAAGCAAGCCTTAAGGACATGTAGCTTGGATGACATGTCCTTAAGGCTTGCTTAATCAAAGCACTTAGAATCTTTCCTAGCATCTTGTCTTTCTGTAATGTCATTTAGTCCTTAAAGATATGAGTTCTAATATAAAATTGTAGTACAAATTTACCAGTCAATTCACAGTGTGGGTTTTTTTGAGACAGAGTCTCACTCTGTTGCCTAGGCTGGAGTGTAGTGGCCTGATCTCAGCTCACTGCAACCTCTGCCTCCCAGCTTCAAGCGATTCTCCTGCGTCAGCCTCCAAGTAGCTGGGATTACAGGCATGTGCCACCACGCCCAGCTAATTTTTGTATTTTGAGTAGAGATAGGGTTTTGCCATGTTGGCCAGGCTGGTCTTGAACTTCTGACCTTAGGTGATCTGCCCTCCTCAGCCTCCAAAAGTGCTGGAATTACAGGCGTGAGCCATCCTGCCTGGCTGGGAAGAAGCATTTTTACCTATCTCTTGCTGCATAACAAACCATCTCAAAACTTAGTGGTTTAAAACAGCAACAGATATTTATTTGCTCGTGATTCTGCAATTTGGGGAGGGCTTGATGTTTTCTCAGCTTCATGTGGTATTGGGTAGGCAATTGTGACTGTGTATAGAGTATCCAAGATGTCTCAACTCACATGTTTGACACCTCAGCTGGGTGGCATGAAGGGCAAGGCCTGACTGGGCATCTCCCTGTTTCTCTTCCTCTTTCTATGTCTCCCCAACTCCTTATGTCTTTCTCTGCTCCTTCCATAGTCTGTTATCCTCCAGTCTCCCCTTCCCTCCGCCCATGATCTGTCTTTACAATAGGCCAGTTAGACTGTTTCACGTGGCAGCTGACTTCAAAAGTGTAAAACCAGATTTTGCTAGGCCCTCCTAAGGCCTAGACCTGGAACTGGTATGCACAGACAGGAATGGGAGAAATAATTGGCACCCCCATTTGGAGAAATTCCACTGCAGCTGCTAAATCAGATTTTATTCAGTCATTTTGTTCTTTATGAGCTGTCACTCTTCATACTATTGACTCCTTCATAGATCTTAGTCTGAAAAGGACACAACACATACACTATGATTTATTTAATAATAAAGCGATAAGTAATTCTTAAATTCAGGATTTTGTGATGTTGACTTTATTGACTTCTTCACACAGGAAACCTGGACAAACATGAAGAACTGGAGGAGCTTGTAGCAAGGTTCTTAGGAGTAGAAGCTGCTATGGCGTATGGCATGGGTTTTGCAACGAATTCAATGAACATTCCTGCTCTTGTTGGCAAAGTAAGACACTCTGTCATTTTTGAAAAAACTCCCTCTTTTGTTTTGAAAAGCATTCAGAGTGAACTGAAAGCTGTTGTAAACTTTAGACTAAACATAATTTAGCCAAAGATATTTCTATCATAAATTGTTTTTTTTCCTTTTTTTTTTTTTTTTTTTTTGAGGCGGAGTCTTGCTCTATTGCCCAGGCTGGAGTACAGTGATGCTATCTCAGCTCGCTGCAACTTCTGTCTCGCATGTTCAGGTGATTCTCCTGCCTCAGTCTCCCGAGTAGCTGGGACCACAGGCATGCGCCACCATGCCTGGCTAATTTTTTGTATTATTAGTAGAGGCGGGGTTTCACCATGTTGGCCATGCTGGTCTTGAATTCCTGAATTCAGGTGATCACCCCACCTTGGCCTCCCAGAGTGCTGTGATTACATATGTGAGCCACCGCACCTAGCCACAAATTGTTTTTCATAAAAAAATAATAATAAAATTGAGATGAGGCCTTACTGTGTTGCCTAGGCTGGTCTCTTAACTCCTGGGCTCAGGCGATCCTCCTGCCTTGGCCTCCCAAAGTGCTGGGATTATGGGCATGAGCCGTCATGCCCAGCCATATCACAAATTTTTGGACAGGTATATCCCATGGATATTCATCAGTTGGAGTTTTCTTGCTGGAACCTGTGATCTTTATGTCTTCCATGAGCTGATTCTTGGCTTCTTTATATCTGAAGGAAGTTGGATAAATTAAAAACTTGGAAAAGACTAAGCTTATTAAAGTAAGAAGGTTTAGTTTGGAAAATTTTTTTAGTTTTTGCCAAGTAGAAAAATATTAAAATATGTAGTTACCCTAATACTTGATTTACTGCAATACTTATTGCTTAGATTTATTTATTTATTTATTATTTATTTATTTTATTTTGAGATGGAGTTTCGCTGTTGTTGCCCAGGTGGGAGTGCCATGGTGCGATCTTGGCTTACTGCAACCTCCACCTCCCGGGTTCAAGCAATTCCCTTGTGTTAGCCTCCCGAGTAGCTGGTATTACAGGCACCCACCTCCACGTCCGGCTAATTTTTGTTTTTTAGTAGAGTTGGGGTTTCACCACGTTGGCCAGGCTGGTCTCGAACTCCTGACCTCAGGGGATCCACCTGCTCTGGCCTCCCAAAGTGCTGGGATTACGGGTGTGAACCACCGTGGCCAGCCAATATATTTAGAAATTTTTCTGTGTGTGTGTGTGTGTGTGTGTGTGTATTTACATATTTAATTGTATATATTTATGTATAATATATAAACATATTTATATGTAAACACACTATTATATATAATATATAAACACTGTAATAACTATAATTATATATGTATATATGTTGTATTTTATATATATATACCCGCAAGTGGGTAACACATGTGAGAGGGCACAATCTGTATGTAAATGTAAATTACATTTCAGCAGATTGGTACTCTCATCCTGAAAGGTCCCTTGAGGTTATTTATTCTCATGTGTAACATAACATCTATGAATGGTATATTGAAAACGTGGTAGGTTAACTCAAGCAGGAAAATTGAGTTTTTGTTGGTTGGTTGACTATATGGTCACACTTAGCTGTGTGACTGTGAGTATGTCAAATACTCTTTCTGATCCTCATAGTTTCTTTTGTAAAATGAGGTGGTTGAGTTAGATGAACTCTATTAAAGTCCTTTTTATGTATGCACATCTGGTCCCAAGCATTTTGAATAAGGGATATTCAGCCTGTATTAGAAAAAATGTAAAGCTTGTAGCTTAAAAAATTAGGAAAAGAAGAATAAATTAAACCCAAACTAAGCAGGGCCTATAAGGTACAGATGGGACAAATAGAAAACACACAGCAAGATAGATTTAAACACACCTGTATTGATAAACATTAAATATAAATGGTTTATGCATTTCAATGAGAAGACAAAGATTGTCAGATAAAATTAAGTAGTTTCCTAATATACAATAGCAACCTATTTGAAATATGAAGACACAGGTTAAAAGGAAAAGGATAGAAAAAATACAGTATGCAAATAATAATCAGAAGAAATTTGAAGTACCTGTATTAATATAAACAAAGATTCAGAGCAAGAAATATTTCTGGTGATAAAGAGAAACATTGTATAATGATTAAGGAATTAATTCATCAAGAGGATATAATTTTAAATGTATAGATGCTTAGCCCATGTATGCCTAGCGTTCCATTATTGGAATGCTAAGCGTGTGGGAGTTATTTGTATCTTACTGGTTAAGGTCATTCATTGCCAAGTCTGATGTTGCAATTCAAAAAATTGCACCTCTGGCATAAATGGGTTAATAACAGAGCTTCAAAGTATATGAAGCAGAAATTGATGAAATTAAAAGTAGACAAATTAAAAAATTGTAATTAGAGACATTAACACTTCTCTCTTAATTGACAGAAGAATGAAACAGAAAATCAGTAATGATATAGAACATTTGGAAAACACTGTCAACCACTTGACCTAATTGAGAAACTCTTCACTCAACACAGCAAAGCATTTACTGCGAAAGACAATAATGTAGTCTAGGCCATTAAGCAAGTTTTAGTCAATTTAAAAGTATTAAAATTATTCAAAGTATGTTCTCTGATCACTGTGGAATTTAGAGTAGAAATTAATAATAGAGATATCTGGAAAATCTTTGAATATTTGAAAATTAAACAATATCCTTCAAAGTAACTCATGGGCCAACAAAGAAAAAACAAGGGAAAATAAAAATATTTTGAACTAAATGGAAATGTAACCTATTACAATTTGTAGGATGAAGCTAAAGTAATGCTCAGATGGAAATGTATAGCATTAAATGTTTATACAGGTTGAGCATCCCTAATCCTAAAGTCTGAAATCTGAAATGTTTCAAACTGGTAAATTTTTGGATTGTCATCATGACAGCACAAAGAAAATGCTTAGGAGTGCTAAACCAGTACATATAATGCAAATAATCCAAAATCCACAAAAATCTGAACTCTGAAACACGTCTGGTCCCAAGCATTTTGAATAAGGGATATTCAACCTGTATTAGAAAAAATGTAAAGCTTGTAGCTTAAAAAATTAGAAAAAGAGAGCAAATTAAACCCAAACTAAGCAGAAGGAAGAATATAATGATGATAAATGCAAAAATCAATTAATTAGAAAATAGGCAATAGGGAAATCAGTGAAACCAAAGCTGATTCTTTGAGAAAATGAATACAATTGATAAATCTCTAGCCAGAACGATTAGGATAAGAAGAAAGCAGATGCATATTACCAATAATAGGAATGAAAGAGGGGGACATCACTACAAATCCCATGGGCATTAAAGGATAATAAGAGAATATTAAGAACAACTTCAGGCCAGGCGGTGTGACTCACACTGTAATCCCAGCACTTTGGGAGGCTGAGGTGGGTGGATCATGAGGTCAGGAGTTCGAGACCAGCCTGGCCAACATGGTGAAACCCTGTCTCTACTAAAAATACAACAAAATTAGCCGGACGTGTTGGTGCGCGCCTGTAATCCCAGCTACCTGGGAGGCTGAGGCAGGAGAATTGCTTGAACCTGGGAGGCGGAGTTTGCAGTGAGCTCAGGTCGCACCACTGCACTCCAGCTTGGGTAACAGAGTGAGATTCTGTCTCAAAAAAAAAAGAACAACTTCATGCCAATAAATTCAACAACTTGGATTAAATAGATAAAATTCCTTCACATTATAATACATTGCTGTCCTGCATTTTGGAGGTTTAAACCTGAGATTCTTGTTTGTTAGAATTTTTAACACTAGAGGATTAAAGAATCTCATCTTGCTGTTCTCTCTGTATGCTTGCAAACTCGAACAAAGGATTCTCTAGAATTAGACATTTTCTACATAGACCGGGAAAGTACAACCATAAAGATTTATATTCCAAATCAAACTATAGTTGAAGTACCATTAAGTATTGTTTAATCTGTTAAAGACAATAACTTATCCAGCTTTAATGATTCTTTGAATCTCATACTAAATTTCAATGTGAAGTGATTGATTGCTCAGTTTAACAGCAGGGTGGAGCAGTATATTGATGAAGAGCATAGGTTCTGGAAGCAGACGTTTGTATTATTTAATAATTATTTTGTTACTGTGCTTGTGACCTTGGGCAAGATTTTAAACTCCTGAACGAGAGTTTCCTCATATATAAAGTGGAAATGATGAAAGTGTCTACTACATAGAGTTATTATGAGGATTAAAAGTAATAATGCATTTAAATCTTTTAACATGATGTCTGAAACCTTAAGTGCTTAGATGTCAACTGCTGTTATTAATATCTATTTTTTTAACCAAAGATTTAATAAAGCTTCAGAATAGTTTCAAAGGGACAGATTGATACATTGAAATGGTGAATAAGGCTGTCTGAAAAGAGTTATCTTTTGCCAGGAAAAAGAACATAATGCGTTTGCAGGTTTGCCAGAAAATTGTTTAGCTGGAAAGAAGAGAAAATAAAATTTTGTATGGAGGGAAAGGCAAGGGAGGGTTCTTTTTAAGATATATTTGAATGCCAAGAGCAGTAAGTAAAAAAAAAATTGAAGACTTGCTGAAGAGAAAGCTGACCTCTCTTTATTTTCTCCCCTAGTTTCATTTTTTTCCATTTTAAAACTTTTTTGAAACTTAAATTTAGACTTGTGAAAGAGTTACAAAAGAGTACAGAGAGTTCCGGTATACTATTCATTCAGCTTCTCTTTATGTTAACATCTTACATAACAGCAGAACCATTTCTTATAGCTAAGAAATTAACTGTGATACAATACTATAACTAAAGTACAGGATGTATTTGGTTTCACCAGTTTTTCACTGATGTCTTTTTTCCACTTCAGGATCCAGGTGAGGATCTACATTGCCTTTAGCTTTTGTAGCTCCTAGTTCTCCACCAATCTGGGATAGTTTCTGTTTTTCTTTATCTTTCATGACCTTGATACTTCTGAAGGGTACTGGTCATTTACTTTGTAGAATGTCTCCAATTTGGGTCTGTGTGCTATGTTGTTATGGTTTGACTGAGCCCATGTGTTACTGAGAAAGCTACTACAGAAGTGATGCCCTTCTTAGTGAATCATATGAGATTATGTGGTTTCAATACATGTTACTGATGATGTAAATCTTAACCACTTGGTTCAGGTGTCAGCCGGGATTTTCTGCCACCAACTTACTGCTTTTCCCTTTGTAATCACCATCTCTTGTGGCAGAGATACTTTGGAACTATATATCAGCATGTCAGATTAAACTTTCACCCACTAACTTTAGTATGCTTTTCTCATCTTGCCTGTGGCAGTTATATTAATCTTGGTGTTCTAATAGTGATTTTTCTATTTTTCCTCATTTCTTCTATACTTATTAATTAGAATTTTTGTGTAAGGAAGAGTTCTTGCTTTTCCCTTATTTATTTGTATCATGGGTTTGTGAATTTTTTATTATTTGGGTTATAATTCAACACAATTGCTTCTTTTTTGTTGCTCGAGTTTTATTTTTGGCCATTGGGAGCTCCTTCAGGTGGGTACCTGTGTCCTTTGAATATGTAACAACTTTTTTTTTTTTTTTTTTTTTTGTTAAGCACTCTCATACTTTCTGGCATGATAAAATACTCCAGGATTATCTTATATTTTCCCTATCCCAGTTTTGGAATTAACCATTTCTCAAAGAAGCCCTGGTTCTTTTTATTGGAGAATGGTATTTAGAAACCAAGGTCTGAGAACTAGGTGTGTTTATTGCTGCAGGAGTGTCACTGCTTCTCACCTTTCAGTGGCTAGAGCTAGAAAATGTATGTATGTATGCTAATACCTCTCTCTCTCTCTCTCTCTCTCTCTCTCTCTCTCTTTCTCTGTGTATATGCGTAAAGATTTGAAAGCCAGGAGTCTATATTGATACTGCCAACTCTCCTCCTCCGCCTCCTCCTTTCTTCTCCTCCTCCTTTTTTTCCCCCCAGACAGAATCTCCCTCTGTCGCCCAGGCTGGAGCATAGTAGCACAATCTTGGCTCACAGAAACCTCCGCCTCCTGGGTTCAAGTGATCCATCTGCCTCAGCTTCCTGAGTAGCTGAGATTACAGGTGCCCACCGCCACACCCGGCTAATTTTGTTTTGTTTGGTTTTGTTTTAGTAGGGATAGGGTTTTGCGATGTTGGCCAGGCTGGTCTCAAACTCCTGACCTCAAGTGATCCATCTGCCTTGGCCACCCAAAGTGCTGGGATTAAAGGCATGAGCCACCATGCCTGGCCCCACTTCATATTTAATCTGTACATTTTTAGCCAGGTAGCTTTTTTTATCTTACTAAGTATTATGTGCATAATAAAAATTTCAAACACAATTACTGTTACAAGTTTCTGAAGTATTCCTTTAAGAATATTCTGTAATAAAATAATTTTTTAAAAAAGAATATTCTGTAATAAATAAGCATGTATATATACAATTGACCCTTGAACAACATGGGTTTGAACTATGCAGGTCCACTTATACGTGGGTTTTTTTTCAACCAGTCATGGATAAAAAATATAGTATTTGGCCAGTCATGGTGACTCACACCTGTAATCTCAGCACTTTGGGAGGCTGAGGTGGGCGGATCACCTGAGGTTGGGAGTTCAAGATCAGCCTGGCCAACATGGTGAAACCCTGTCTCTACTAAAAATAAAAAAAATTAGTCAGGCATGATGACAGGTGACAGTAATCCCAGCTACTTGGGAGGCTGAGGCAGGAGAATCGCTTGAACCCAGAAGGCAGAGGTTGCAGTGAGTCAAGATTGTACCACTGCACTCCAGCCTGGACGACAAGAGTAAGATTCCATCACACACACACACACACACACACACTTCATGGAACACAAAACCCAAGTATATTGAGGGCCTACCTTTTATATAAGCAGGTCCCACAGGGCCAACTGCAGGACATGAGTGTGCATGGATTTGGATATATGTGGGGGTGAGGTGGTTCTGGAACCAAGTCCTCCTGCAGACTGAGGGATGACTGTGTGTCTGTGTATCTTTTTTCTTTTTTTGTTCTCATGGGAGCATGCTGTATACTTTCTGCACCTTTTTCATCTAATTGGATATTTTGAGGCTATTTTTGACAGAGAAAAACCTGTTTCTGAGTTCCAGTCTGACAGGTTGAAGGGCTTCATGAGAGATGGAAGAATAAGAACTGCAGTGAAAATAAAACAGAGGCTTCAGTGTTTTCTTGTTGCCTTAGCAGAAACCCATGTTTGTGTGTTAAAGTAAAGCTTGTTTGGGGATTTTTAAGACAAAACTGAAGCCTGCAGTCCATGTTACGTGGGGAAAAGGTTAGTAATTAGGATAATTTCCCGAACTCTAGATATGAGTAGTAGTGTGAGAATGCACCATTTCCACAGACATGACCCCATCAGCTGCCATTTCCCACAGATACACAGAACACCATACTAAAACTACATGGAATTCTCTCATGTAAAGAAACGAAAAATGTTTCAGAGACTAATGTGTCAGATTTTAGATATAAATAAAGATCTGTTGCCATGTATCTGAATATTTACATCAATGAAGATATTAAATTAAAAGGGTAGAATTTCGCATCTACTTTTAAGGTGTCTTTACAAAAACCAGATCACCGCCGGGCGCGGTGGCTCACGCCTGTAATCCCAGCACTTTGGGAGCCCGAGGCGGGTGGATCACGGGGTCAAGAGATCGAGACCATCCTGGTCAACATGGTGAAACCCTGTCTCTACTAAAAATATAAAAAATTAGCTGGGCATGGTGGCGTGTGCCTGTAATCCCAGCTACTCAGGAGGCTGAGGCAGGAGAATTGCCTGAACCCAGGAGGCGGAGGTTGCGGTGAGCCGAGACTGTGCCATTGCACTCCAGCCTGGGTAACAAGAGCGAAACTCCTCTCCTAAAAAAAAAAAAAAAAAAAAAAAAAACCAGATCACCATGTATGCTTTTTTCCTCCTCTTAAAATTGGTCACTTTACTGTTGTGCACGATTTCCTTAGTAAGATACGGCTATTAGTGCTTGTGGCATTTTGTGATTTGTGTAACTAACCCTTTCCGCTCCAGCTTCTTACCTTCCTGTTCCTGTGATATTGCAGGGTTGCCTGATTCTGAGTGATGAACTGAACCATGCATCACTGGTTCTGGGAGCCAGACTATCAGGAGCAACCATTCGAATCTTCAAACACAACAGTGAGTTTGCTGCAGAATTCCCTGCTGGCCTTGGCGTTGACTATTCTTTAGATCCATGTTGGGGTTAATATTAGTTATATTTGCAGTTGAAAATATAAATGGAGCTGAAGTAGCAACATTTAAAATGTTCTTCTGGTCCAGTCTTTTAAAATTAGACATTGAAGGAAGCCTTTTATACAGATACAATACTATTCTTTTATTTGACCTTCAAGTTTTCCATCCCATTTCCTTGTTTACAAATCCCTTGCTCAAATACATTACTAGATGCCTACAGGATATCTTGCCGTAAGACTAGGGGTATTTAGATGAATACATTAAGATAGATGCTGAAGTACAGATATGAATAGATGCTATGGGAGCACAGAGGAGGGTGGCACTGAGCCAAACATTTCCTCCCTAAGTGGAAATATCTATGTATTATTAAAATGATTTATAATAAAAATGCATAACTTTCATAGTTAAAGCACATGCACAGGCAGAAAAGATTACCAAATTATATGTTTAATATCATCTTATCCCAAAACGTATACAGATAGGTGCAGAAAAAAGTTGGGAGGAATGTATACCAAAATGTTAGGTGTGTACCCCTGGATGGAAGGATCATAGATGATAACGTCATTTTTGCCTTTGTTTTTGTTTTTGTTTTTTCTAAAATGTTTTACAGTGAGAAATGAGATCTTATTAAACATAACTGTGTAATAACCTATTTTATTTATTTATTTATTTATTTTTTTGAGACTAGAGTCTCGCTGTGTTACCCAGGCTGGAGTTCAGTGGCTCAATCTTGTCTTACTGCAACCTCCGCCTCCTGAGTTCTAGTGATTCTCCTGCCTCAGCCTCCGCAGTAGCCAGGATTACGGACACATGCCACCACACCTGGCTAGTTTTTTGTATTTTTAGTAGAGGTGGAGTTTCACTGTGTTAGCCAGGCTGGTCTTGAACTCCTGACCTCAGTTGATCCGCCTGCCTTGGCCTCCCAAAGTGCTGGGATTACAGGTATGAGCCATCCCACCTGGCCTTTTTTTTTTTTTTTTTCCACAATATACTGTGATTGTTGTTTGTCAGTACATGTGACCCTACTTCATTCTTTCATGCCAGTGTGGCAGTCAATGCTTGTATGTGCCCTCATTTAATTGACCCCTCAGTTGGACATCAATGTTCTTTCTACATTTTTCTACTGGAAACAGCACTACACTCATAGTTTTGTACAATCATCTGGTTAGTGCCTTTAGTGCCTTAGGATAAATTTCTAGCAGTCTCAGAATGCGTGGTTAAAAGAGAGTATACATTTTTAATACTTTTCCAAATTGCCTCTAAGCATTGTATGAACTTTTTTTTCACTTTTATTTTAGGTTCAGGGGTACATGTTTGTTACATAGGTAAATTGCATGTCTCGGGGGTTTGGTGTACAGATTATTTCATCACCCAGGTAATCAGCATAGTACCTGATAGGTAGTTTTTTGATCCTTACCGTCCTCCTCCCTGGCTCACCCTCAAGTAGGCCCCAGTGTCTGTTGTTCCCTTCTTCTTGTCTGTATGTACTCAATGTTTAGCTCCCACGTATAAGTGAGAACATGTGCTATTTGGTTTTCTGTTTCTATGTTAGTTTGCTTTAGATAATGGTTTCCAGCTACATCGATGTTGCTGCAAAGGACATGATTTCATTCTTTTTTATGGCTACATAGTATTCCATGGTGTATATGTACCTAATATATATATATTTTTTGAGACAGAATCTTGTTTTGCTACCCAGGCTGGCATGCATTGGCATGAACTCAGCTCACTGCAGCCTCCACCTCTAGCTCAAGCAATTCTCTCACCTCAGCCACCCTAGTAACTACAACTACAGTTGTGTTTCACCACACCTGGCCAGGCTTTTTTGTTGTTGTTTTGGTTTTTTGTAGAGATGGGGTTTCACCATGTTGCCCCAGCTGGTCTTGAACTTCTGTGCTCAAGCAGTCCACCCACCTCAGCCTCCCAGTGGTGGGATTATGGGCATGAGCCACCGCGCCTGGCTTCACATTTTTTTAATCGAGTCTACTGTTAATGGACATTTAGGTTGATTCTATGTCTTTGTTGTTGTGAATAGTGCTGCAGTGAACATACACATGCTTGTGTCTTATATGAATTTTTACTCAACAACATGAGATCGACCGTTTCTACTCGATGGCCAACATAGACTACAGTGGAATTATTTTAAATCTTTCCAGATCTAATTGAGTAAATAATATGTTAATTTTTATTTCATTGTTTATTAGGTATAGAGCAACTTTTAACATTTTTATTGTATCTGTTTTTTAAACCCTACTTGTAAGCTAATGTGTTTATATTTCTTACTTTATAAATTGGCCATTTTCAAATTGTTTCTATTTTTTATTGATTATAGAACCCCTTAATATTAATTATTTTTTCCTTTATGTTACTTTTTGTTTGTTTGTTTTGAGACAGGGTCTTGCTCTGTCACCCAGGCTGGAGTGCAGTAGCACAATCTCAACTCACCACAGCCTTGACCTCCTGTGCTTAAATGATTCTTCTGCCTTGGCCTCCCAAGTAGCTGGGACTGTAGGCATGCACCACCATACTGGGCTAGTTTTTTTATTTTTTGTAGCGATGAAGTCTCCCTGTGTTACCCAGGTTGGTCTTGAACTCTTAGGCTCAAAGGATCCTCTGGTTTCAGCCTCCCAAAATGCTGGGATTACAGGAGTTATTTACCATGCCCAGACTGCACTATTTTTATATTGTTTACTTGGTTTTCAGTGTCTTGCTGTGCAGACTCATTAAAGTTTTTTTGTTGCCACACTTATTGTTTTACGACTTTTGGATTTTACACAATACCTTCCTCATTCTCAGATCATAAGATTATTCTCTCCTGCTTTCTTCTGGGAGTTTTGCAATATATTTTTGTTTAAATTTATGTGGGCTGGGTGCGGTGGCTCAAGCCTGTAATCCCAGTACTTTGGGAGGTCGAGGCAGGTGGATTACCTGCGGTTAGGAGTTCGAGACCAGTCTGTTCAACATGGTGAAACCCAGTCTCTATATAAAAAAAAATAAAAACAAAAATAAATAAATAAATTTATGTGGAATTTGGGGGTATAACATTGGAGAGAGGTTGAATTTTTTTTTTCTAAGTGGGTAATACGGTTAAGCATTCTGCTATAGATACTTCGTTTTTTGTTTGTTTTTGAGACAGGGCCTCACTCTGTCACCCAGGCTGGAGTGCAGTGGTGCAGTCTCAGCTCACTGCAACCTCAGCCTCCTGGGTTTAAGTGATTCCGATGTCTCAGCCTCCCAAGTAGCTAGGATAACACCACCACACCCAGCTAATTTTTTTGTATTTTTAGTAGAGACGGGGTTTTGCCATGTTGGCTAGAACTCCTGACCTTAAGTGATATACCCACCTCTATCTCCCAAAGTACAGAGATTTAAAGGCGTGAGCCACCACACCTGGCTGATACTTCTTTTATCTAAAATTTTGACCAGTATTATTTTTCTCCTCCTTCTGTATATAAACATAGAAAACTAAAATAATTCATACATTTTTAGTTGTCTTCAGCTGATTGCCGTACATTGCTCTCTGCCTGAGAACTGAAGGCTTTGCAGGACTTTTGGAGGCCGAGGAAAGTGGATCACCTGAGGGCAGGAGTTGGATACCATCCTGGCCAACATGGTGAAACCCCGCCTCTAATAAAAATACAAAAATTAGCTAAGTGTGGTGGCAGGCACCGGTAATCCTGGCTACTCAGGAGGCTGAGGCCAGAAAATCTGGGAGGTGGAGGTTTCAGTGAGCAGAGATCACACCACTGTACTCGAGCCTTGGCAACAGAGTGAGACTCTGTCTCAAAAAGAAAGAAAGAAAAAACAGGAGGCTTTGAGTCAGGACATATTTACTTCTGTGGGGAATCTCTCCTGAATCTTGGTTAGGTCGTATGCAGATTTTTTTCTTAAAAATTACTGAATCTGCCGGGTGTGGTGACTCACGCCTATAATCCAAGCACTTTGGAGGCCAAGGCGGGCAGATCACCTGAGGTCGGGAGTTCAAGACCAGCCTGACCAACATGGTGAAACCCCATCTATTTAAAAAAAAAAAAAATTACTGAATGTTTAACACAGTCACAACCTTAGGCTATCTTATTTGTGTTTGCGTTTTGTGTTTTTATTACCTTATTTCTTTTTCTGTCAAAATTGTTTTCTGCAAAGAACAAAACCATGTAGTTTTATAACCCCTTCTGAGAAATACAGAATACAAAATCAGATTTTATGATAGAGCCAGGCACGGTGGCTAGCACCTGTAATCCCAGCACTCTGGGAGGCCAAGGCAGACAGATCACCTGAGGTCAGGAGTTCAAAATCAGCCTGGCTAACAGGGTGAAACCCCATCTCTACAAAAATACAAAATTATCTGGGTATGATGGCGGGTGCTGGTAATCCCAGCTCCTTGGGAGGCTGAGTCAAGAGAATCACTTGAGCCTGGGAGGCAGAGGTTGCAGTGAGCTGAGTTCATCCCATTGCACTCCAGCTTGGGCGACAGGGGGAGACTCTGTCTCAAAAAAAAAAAAAGATTTTATGATGGAATGTCTCCCACCCCTATTAAGTATTCCCCACGCTTAATGTTGCTTAAATTTGGGGAGTTTTTTTTTCTTTTTTTTTTTTTTTTTTTTAAGGACTTCATTTCAGGGCAACTGTTTTAAGTATGAAATATGTAGTGTGGCTGCAATGGTCTGCAAAGCATTTGTCTTTAACAAGGAAATTATGATCATCAATAATGGCAGTAGCAGCCAAGTTCCTTCCAGGCCCAGTAACCATCGTAAGAACCAACAGAACCACAAGAACTTGGTTGTTTATAGACAACAGATGAAGTCAAACATGGAACAATATCAACTGATGGTAAAGCTTGCTTAACACAAAGACTCATACATGCCTTAGATGCATGTATTTTTTTTTTTAGATGGGCGTATTTTTAACCCAGTACCAAAATAAAGCTCTTTAACAAGCATTTATTGAGTACGTCCTAGGTGAAAAGAAATGGAGCATGCACTGTGAAGTTTTTTACCCCTTGCGTTTGATTTTTAGGAGGTATATGTGTGTGTGATAGTTTATCACACTCTCTTGCTCTTTTTTATGCACTTTTTTTCCTGAATGACTCACTAGGATTAGCTATACGGTTTGATTCTGTATTTTTTGATTAACACAAAAAAGCTAACTTAATGGCAGGGTATTCAACATGAGACATAGGTCATTTTATAAGCAAGCTGATGAACTGAATCAACCGCCACAGTCATTTAGTCAAGTTTCAGTGGTTTTGAACATTAGTTACCTTTTGGATTTCAATTCAAGGTGGCAATAATTCACCTATTTGCCTCGCTTTTTTCTGCCGAATTCTAATTATGTCCTTTGCTATCTGAGATGCACTTTCTGAATGAGAAATATATCTCTGCATTTCTAGAATAAAGTTAGGAATGAAGAAGATACTGTGTGACTTTTCTTTTTTTGCGTGCTATAGACATGCAAAGCCTAGAGAAGCTATTGAAAGATGCCATTGTTTATGGTCAGCCTCGGACACGAAGGCCCTGGAAGAAAATTCTAATCCTTGTGGAAGGAATATATAGGTAATCCTGCTTTATTATTCTTACCTTTGTGAGTTGGGCCCATTAAGTCACAGAATTTTTTAACTGAATGGAACAATACTCTGGCCTCCTCTGGAAACTAAGGAGACTGTTTATAAGTCACTAAAATACCTGGAAACAGAGTCAGCATTAGAACAGAAGTCTTTTTGTCTGGTTCTTCCTTATTCTTTCCATTATACTACATAGTCCCCAAATACCCTTTCTGTTTGGGTCTTTTATTTTTCCAGTTTGTAGAGGGAACTTATATGTAGGGGCAAGGACTGGAATATGTCAAAACAAATTATATGTCAGTTAACTTTAATAAATATTGTAGGCTGAGTGCAGTGACTCACACCTGTAATCCCAGCACTTTGGGACGTCAAGGCGGAGGTTGCTTGAGGCCAGGAGTTCGAAACCAGCTTGGGCAACATAGTGAAAGCCTGTCTCTATAAAAATAAATAAATAGGCTGGGCACAGTGGCTCACGCCTGTAATCCCAGCACTTTGGGAGGCCGAGGCAGGCGGATCACGAGGTCAAGAGATCGATATCATCCTGATCAACATGGTGAAACCCCATCGCTACTAAAAATACAAAAATTAGCTGGTCGTGGTGGCGCACGCCTGTAGTCCCAGCTACTTGGGAGGCTGAGGCAGGAAAATCACTTGAACCTGGGAGGCAGAGGTTTCAGTGAGCCAAGATTGGGTTACTGCACTCCAGCCTGGTGACAGAGCAAGACTCTGTTAAAATAATAATTAAAAAAAAAAAGCGGTAAAGGTTAACCAAAATAAAATATTTTTGTTTTTATTTTTATTTTTTGTTTGAGACACAGTCTCACTCTGTCACCTAGGCTGGACTGCAATGGTGCGACCTTGGCTCATCACAACCTCCACCTCCAGGTTAAAGCGATTCTCTTGCCTCATTCTCCCGAGTAGCTGGGATTGCAGGCGCATGCCACCATGCCCAGCTAATTTTTGTATTTTTAGTAGAGACGGAGTTTCACCATGTTGGCCAGGCTGGTCTCAAACTCCTGACTTCATGATCCGCCCATCTCAGCCTCCCAAAATGCTGTGATTACAGGCGTGAGCCACCGTGCCCCGGCCAAACTTTACAGCTTTTACACATATTTTACCACCTAATTTTTTTTTGTTCTTTTGTGTCATTTTAATTGCCTGTGCAATGTGATGCAAAGTCACATGTTGCCTGTAGTTACAACCTTTAGAAGAATCTGCCATGAACGTAATTCTTTTTGTCATGAATTAAGATTGCTCATGTTGGCCGGGCGCGGTGGCTCACGCCTGTAATCCAAGCACTTTGGGAGGCTGAGGTGGGTGGATCACCTGAGGTCAGGAGTTCAAGACCAGCCTGGCCATCATGGTGAACCCCATCTTAAAAAAAGAAAAAAAAGATTGCTCATGTTTGGTGCTTGTGTGTTTTTGGTTGTTGCTGGTGTTTTTTTTGTTTTGTTTTGTTTTTTGTTTTTATTTTCTGTTTTGAAACGGGATCTTACTATGTTGCCCAGACTGGAGTGCAGTGGCGCAATCTCAGCTCACTGCAACCTCCACCTCCTGGTTTTCCTGCCTCAGCCACCTGAATAGCTGGGATTACAGGTATGTGCCACCATGCCCAGCTAATTTTTTTATTTTTAGTAGAGATGGGGTTTCACCATGTTGGCCAGGCAGGTTTTGAACTTCTGACTTCAAGTGATCCGCCTACCTCAGCCCCCCAAATTTCTGGGATTACAGCCCCTCCAAAATGCTGGGATTACAGCCCTCTGAATTGCTGAGCCACCACACTCAGCCAGTGCTTATTTTATTTTATTTTATTTTTATTATTTTTTTTTTGAGACAGAGTTTCGCTCTTGTTACCCAGGCTGGAGTGCAATGGTGTGATCTCGGCTCACCGCAACCTCCGCCTCCTGGGTTCAGGCAATTCTCCTGCCTCAACCTCCTGAGTAGCTGGGATTACAGGCATGCGCCACCATGCCCAGCTAATGTTTTTTGTATTTTTAGTAGAGACGGGGTTTCACCATGTTGACCAGGATGGTCTCGATCTCTTGACCTCGTGATCCACCCGCCTCGGCCTCCCAAAGTGCTGGGATTACAGGCTTGAGCCACCGTGCCCGGCCCAGTGCTTATTTTAAAATATCCAATTTCCTTTCCCCTAGTCTTTTTTTTTTGGGGGGGGAGGATTATATAATTCCATTCTTTTATTTTGCAGGTGAAGAAAATGTGTGACTTTCTTTGAGCCACACAGTGACAGATACAAATGAAAGTGAAAATTAGGAATCACAGAATCCTAGTTTATTACTTTCCTATTATTTTCCATTTCTGACATTTTTCTTCTATTTGGGTAGTTTGTTATTTTGCCCCATGATTCTGTGCTTCCATGAGGTATCACATAGATCCAAGATTTTATAATTCTATCCATGCTGAAGTTTTATAGTCTTCAAAAGTCACTCTGTCTAGGAATACATGTTTTTGTTTGTTTGTTTGTTTGTTTTTTAAAGAGTACAGGTAATGTTTTAAACATTCATATATGAAACTCAGTGGAATTTCTTTCTGCAGCATGGGTATTTTTTTTTTTTTTCCCCTAGTCTTTTGCCTTACCATGGTGTAATCTACCTTTGCCAGTTTAAAACCACAGATGTGGCGGGGCATGGTGACTCATGCCTGCAATCCCAGCAGTTTGGGAGACCAAGGCAGGCAGATCATGAGGTCAGGAGATCGAGACCATCCTGGCTAATACAGTGAAATCTCACTTCTACTAAATATTAAAAAAAAATTAGCCATGTGTGATGGCACGAACTTGTAGTCCCGGCTACTCAGGAGGCTGAGTCAGGAGAATCACTTGAACCCTGGAGGCAGAGGTTGCAGTGAGCTGAGATAGAGCCACTGCACTCCAGCCTGGGTGATAAAGCGAGACTCTGTCAAAAAAAAAGAAAAAAAAAAAAAAAATCACAGGTCATTATTCAGGTTTTCATGTTAAAGAAAAAACGAAAAAAAAACAAACAAAAAAAATCACAGCTCAGACCATTTAAAAACCAATAAACTCAGCCAGGCATGGTGGCTTATGCATATAATCCCAGCACTTTGAGAGGCCAAGGGGGTATATCACTTGAGGCCAGGAGTTTGAGACTAGCCTGGGAAACATGGTGAAACCCCCTCCTTGCTAAAAATATAAAAATTAGCTGGGTGTGGTAGGGCGTGCCTGTAGTCCCAGCTACTTGAGAGGCTGAGGCACGAGAATCACTTGAACCCGGGAGTTAGAGGTTGCATTGAGCCGAGATTGTGCCACTGCACTCCAGCCTGTACGATAGAATGAAACTCTGTCTCAAGGAAAAAAAAAAAAAACAGAAGTAGTAAACTTGATGAAGTGCCAGACTCCCATTTAGTCTCAGTGTATATGTGTTTATATATATTTTTTTCATGTTTTGCCAGCATGGAAGGATCTATTGTTCGCCTTCCTGAAGTGATTGCCCTCAAGAAGAAATACAAGGCATACTTGTATCTGGATGAGGCTCACAGCATTGGGGCCTTGGGCCCCACAGGCCGGGGTGTGGTGGAGTACTTTGGCCTGGATCCTGAGGATGTGGATGTTATGATGGGAACATTCACAAAGAGTTTTGGTGCTTCTGGAGGATACATTGGAGGCAAGAAGGTAAATGAGCCATGAGAATGAGTGATTAGAGATACAGTTAGTGTTATCTAGATTTGGTACTTCATGCCTAGCAGATGGGGCCCTGAACTGCAATGTCCCTGAATTTGCCCGTGGTTTAGGCTCATAATACTAATGAGTGACTCTAATCTCTCCTCACTGAACTAAAGGCTGGTTCTGTTCATTGTTTGTTGTTTTCTTACTCGAGCTTCTTTCTAAGCTACATGCTGATCTGAAATATAGAATACCCTCTTGTGTGAAGGAACACACAGTGGTGCTCCCTGCTTGCCCCAGCCTTCTGTTGGGTTTGCATTGTGCTCACAGTTTCAAAAACAGTGGGGTTGTCATGGGAGTCCGTGGGAATAGCAGGTCACCTTGCCCTTGGACACAAATGAGTGGACATGGAGACAGGAAGGAAAAAGGTTGTGCCAGCTCTGGGGTACTAGAAAGCATTGTATTTTTCAGATTTTAAACTATGTAGTTGTCTCCTGGGTTTTTGTAGTCAGAAAAAAATCATATAGTGAATTTTGATGCAAGTAAGAATCTGTGTGGCATGGTGGAAATGGTGAACCATAAGGACAGAGACTGGGTGTGAGTATTTCTCTGCTTGCTTTGTTAGACCTTAGGGAAAACATTTAACCTTCCAGTTGCCTTGTCAGTAAAATATAGATTAAAATGGCTAGCTTGTAAGATTGTAGTAAGGGTTTAAAAAGTAATATATGTCCATGCTACAACAAGGGTGCGCCTTAAAAACATTATGGTAAGTGAAAAAAATTAGTCACAAAAAGTCACATATTGCACGTTTTAAAATATGTGATATCTAGAATAAGCATAGAAACAGAAACTAGATTAGTAGCTGCTGGAGGCGGACTGGATGGGGAAATAGAAAGTGAATGCAGGCCGGGCGCGGTGGCTCAAGCCTGTAATCCCAGCACTTTGGGAGGCCGAGGCGGGTGGGTCACGAGGTCAAGAGATCGAGACCATCCTGGTCAACATGGTGAAACCCCATCTCTACTAAAAATACAAAAAATTAGCTGGGCATGGTGGCGCGTGCCAGTAGTCCCAGCTACTCAGGAGGCTGAGGCAGGAGAATTGCCTGAACCCAGGAGGCGGAGGTTGCGGTGAGCCGAGATCGCGCCATTGCACTCCAGCCTGGGTAACAAGAGCGAAACTCCATCTCAAAAAAAAAAAAAAAAAGAAAGTGAATGCTAATGGGTGTGAGGTTTCCTTTGAGGGTTATGGAAATGTTCTAAAATTAGTAGTAAAAGTGGCACAACTCTGGATATACTAGAAACCACTGAATTGTACCTTAAAATGGTGAATTATGTGGTATGTGGCTTATATCTCAATGAAGCTGTTATTTTTAAACATTGCAACATTAGGGAAAAAATAATGTATGTCAGGTATTTGTATATGACACGGAGGAGGTGCTCATGAATGTTCTTAATTTTGCTTTAAAACTCAATATTGGGAGTCTTAAAGAATGTGTATGCTGGGCACGGTGGCTCATACCTATAATCCCAGCATTTTGAGAGGCTGAGTGGGAGGATTAAAGACTTGAGCCCAGGAAGACCAGCCTGGGCAACACAGTGGAGCTTCATCTCTACAAAAAAGTAAAAAAATTAGCTGGGTGTGATGGCACATGCCTGTAGTCCCAGGTAAAGGGGAGGCTGAGACGAGAGGATTGCTTGATCTTGGGAGATCAAGGATGCAGTGAGCCATGATTACGTCACTGCACTCCAGCCTGGGCAACAAAGCAAGACCCTGTCTCAGAAAAAAGGTCATTCTTTTGATAATTGATTGCCTTTTAGAGAGAACTCATTTTCAGTGACTTTTAATCAAGTTTGATAGATTTTTATCTCAAATTTACCTTTTTGGTAATGCAACCAGGCTCACTTTGGAAAGTTAGTTGTTTTTTAGTGAGCTTTGTGACTGTGAACCAAAAGATAGAAAAATAATACTCTGGGATAATATTAAGTAAAATATATTTGTGCTTTCAGGTTTTTTTTTTTTTAACTATTAATATTTTTTAGATAAAACTGTTTTATAAACACATTTTGTGTCTTCCAGATTTGTTCTGGTACATAAGCTTCTTGTGTGCACATTTTAAAGATTGGTAAAATCAAAAGATATCGGAGAGTAGGGATATACAATTGTTTTTTGAAATTCTTGTAAATCAGAGTTTTACTTTATTCGGTGAGGTGTCATTGGCATTCTAATGAAAGACCTTATACATTTCCATTTAATTTCTTTAACATTTATATCATTTTATACATCTCTGCATATCAGGCGGAAGTTCTAATGTCCTTAAAGTTGATGTTAGAGAACTGTTATTTAGGGGTATAAGGATGGGCTTTACAGGAACAGAGAGAGCTGCAGATGACACTTTCTGTGATACTTGGAATTAAATCATATATCTAAAAAGCAATCCAAATACCTTCTTGTTTAACCTTGTTCATTTATTTCTAACTTTTTTTTTTTTTGAGACAGAGTGTCGCACTGTCACCCAGGCTGGAGTGTAATCTGGGCTCACTGTAACCTCCGCCTCCCGAGTTCAAGTGATTCTCCTGCCTCAGCCTCCCAAGTAGCTGGGATTACAGATGCCTGCCTCCACACACAGCTAATTTTTGTATTTTTAGTAGAGATAGGGTTTCACTATGTTGGTCAGGCCGGTCTCGAACTCCTGACCTCAGTTGATCCACTGACCTCGGCCTCCCAAAGTGCTGAGATTACAGGCCTGAGCCACTGTGCCCAGCCATATTTCTAACTTTAAATGATAAAGTCTCCAAATTTAGAGGGATTTTTTAAAAACTAGTTTTTCTCCTATATTGTTCCATGTTTAAGAAACAAAACCAAACCTAGGAACTTTGCCATGTTTCTGACTCAGTTGTTGCCAGCAGTATGCTTTGACCATGTTGGTTGACCTTGCATCTCAGTATTAGTGTCCCTATTCCAGTGCCATTGAAGTGAGGAGTCCTCTAGAACTTAGAAGGAAAGCACTGACATTGCCAGTGAATGCAAGAATTGTCTCTACTTATCTGCCTCTGTGAACTCCCCAGGAGCTGATAGACTACCTGCGAACACATTCTCATAGTGCGGTGTATGCCACGTCACTGTCACCTCCCGTAGTGGAGCAGATCATCACCTCGATGAAGTGTATCATGGGGCAGGATGGCACCAGCCTTGGTAAGTCTTTGTTTTTTGGAAACATTGCATAAGTCCAGTTAGCAGCCAAAGGTGCTGCTTTTAGAGAGTTTTTTTTCCTAAAATAAAGAGTCAGGTTTACGAATAGGCAAAGCTGGCTGGTTTGTGGTTTCCATGGACACTTTTTAGTATGTTTGATACATACGCCATGACAACAACCCTGGCTCTCTTCCTGTGGAATTTTCTTGTTTATAGATGGGAGGCTTTACTCTTACTATCCTACATACCCTCTCAACTCAGAGGTGATATGCTTCAGGGTTTTTCTTGAATTGCATAATTTTATGTGAGGTTGTAATTCACTGTTAGTGATGTTTCATTAACAGCGTAGTTAAGAGCTGCTGTTTTCATAAGTTAGTATTCCTGATTTAATGCCTTTTTAAAGAGTTTCTAATTTCACATAGATAATAAATGACATCCTGAATCAGTTTATTTTGCCTTTGATGGGATTTGTAGTCTCAACTACATGCCTTGACTTAGATATACTACATGAACAATAAAGTGCAGTGTTCACTTTCTGACATTTGACTTTGATTCTGCATCACCAGAGGGCAGCATTGACTGCTGAACAGTGGTACTAAAAGGGGAGCAATTGGTTGTCTATTTTTACTTTAAAAAATGTTTTCATTGCACGTTATAAGACAATAATTTCACTTGTTGCTTTTGTAATGCTTGTAAAGTCAGTTTGGCATTTGTAAAAGATTGCACATTATCAGCCGTGAGCTCTACACTGTACAGTTATGTAATACTTTGTTGTAAGATTGATTTGGTTTGGATTGAATAAAGTGGTACCTTTTGATTGGTTTACAACTGTTTTCTTTTCTCTTCTCTTCTCTTTTCTTTTCTTTTTTTTTTTTTCCTAGACAGAGTCTTGCTCTGTCACCCAGGCTGGAGTACAGTGGTGCGATTTCAGCTCACAGCAACCTCCGCTTCCCAGGTTCACAGGATTCTCCTGCTTCAGCCTCCCAAGTAGCTGGGACCACAGGAGTGTGCCACCATACCTGGCCAATTTTTTTGTATTTTTTGTAGAGGTGGGGTTTCACCATGTTGCCTTGGCTAGTCTTGAACTCCTGGGCTCAAGTGATTTGCCTGCCCTGGCTTTCCAAAGTACTGGGATTACAGGTGTGGGCCACCATGCCCAGCTGACTGTTTTCCTTTTCTTTCTTTTTTTTTTTGTTTTTTGTTTTTTTGTTTTTTTGAGATGGAGTTTCCCTGTGTTGCCCGCCCAGGCTGGAGTGCAGTGGCACAATCTTGGCTCACTGCAACCTTCGCCTCCTGAAGTTGCAATTCGAGGGAATTCAAACAGTTCTCTGTCTCAGCCTCCTGAGTAGCTGGGATTACAGGCACCTGCCACCATGCCCAGCTAATTTTTGTATTTTTAGTAGAGACGGGCTTTCACCAACGTGGTCAGGTTGGTCTTGAACTCCTGACCTCATGATCCACCTGCCTTGGCCTCCCAAAGTGCTGGGATTACAGCTGTGAGCCACTGTACCTGGCCGACTGTTTTCTTAAATCAGAATTTTACCTTAACATTTTTTCTGGTCTGTGCTAGATCCTTGTTTTCTCTAATGAGAGATTTTTAGAAATAGTGAAGTGTGATCATTTTCAGTTTTGTGAATTAATTCCCTGAAGAAGTTGTTTTATTAATGTCGTAAACACATTGTGGAACCTCTGAGTAGCTCCCTATTAGTAATAATTATAGCTTTATCTCCTCTCCTTCTGATGTGGTGTTAGTGGAAATAGTGTGTTTGAACCTGAGAGGTAGACATATATACACACATGTGTATACATATAGCTAGCATTTCTCTAGTTACGTCACATAGGCACATTTACTTTATTGATTGAACACACAGGTTTAGGTGACTAAGAAATGGCTAAGAGCTATCAAAGTTAACACTGGAAAATATCTTTGCCCTGTTCTACAACGTGGATCTGTGTGACACGTTACCTACAGATAAATGACTTATCTGTACTAAATGATGAAATTTGGGCTGTGCTGGTAGTGAGAAAATGCAATGTGGTAAGTAGATGTTTGGGTCAGCACCAGTTTTCTAGTTTTTGCCTCTTGCCACCCCAAAGTTTAGTGCTGTGACACAGCAGCCATCTGATTATGCTCACAGATGCCACAGGTCAGGAATTCTGTCAGGGCACAGCAGGGATGACTTGTCTTTGCTCCATTGTCTGGAGCTAACCTGGTAAACTCAAGTGTATGGAAATACTGAGATGGTTGGGGGTTGGCATCATCCGGAGGCTTCTCTACTCACATGTCACCTGGGCTGGAGTGACTTGGAGCCAGGCTCAGCTGAGGCTGTTGACCAGAGCACCGTCATGCATGTATCCTTTCCATGTGGCTTGGGCTCCTCATAACGTTGTGACTGGGTACCCAGAAAGGATGCTTCAGAGAGAACGCATTTCAGAGAACCTGGTGCAAACCCCATGACCTTTTCTGACCTGTTGTTAACAAGCAGGTCACTAAGGCCATCTCAGATTGAAGGGATGGGGAGCTAGATTCCACCTCCCCAATGGAGGCATGTCAAAGAATTTGTGATTTTTTTTTTTTTGAGATGGAGTCAAAAAAGGGGAAGTACCATTCTCTTTTAAACAATCAGATCTTGAGACAACTCAGAGCAAGAACTCAATCATTACCTAAGGATGGCAGCAAGCCATTCATGAGGGATCCGCCCCATGATCCAGACACCTCCGACCAGACGCCACCTCCATCATTGGTGATCACATTCCAACCTGTGATTTGGAGAGGACAAACATCCAAACCGTATCAGTGAATATATTACTTTTACGATGAAAACTTTGTTACTGTTGAGTTCCAGAGTTGATATTGAAAGTAAGGCTTAAACACATACATAGACAGCATGCGGTTGCTTATTGTTAAATGTTTTCATCTTTTTGTGTGAAGAAATGTTGCTCTTTTGTGTGAATGCAGAGCCTTCAGAAAAAGCTGCAGCATGCAAGGGAAGGTGAGATCCAGTTTCCACGTGACTTTGTGATACTCCTTTCCCCTTCCTCCCAACATTTTCCACATTTCCCCTCCAGTTTCTATACTTTTGCCAAGGAAGAACAGGATATGTGACTAGGTTGACAGATAGTGAAAGGCAGCTTCACTAGGATCCCAGGTGAGATAATCATGAATGGAAGTTGTGCTGCCAGAAATTCTGTACCTGGAATAGGAATATTGAGTTAGCACAGGCCAGGGAGTAGAAAAAAAAATGAGGCCTAAGAAATTCTGACAAAGTCTATTAGACATTTGAAATTCTAGCTTTGACTTTACACATCACTAATCCATGTCCACTAATGGAATTTAGCTGTAATATCTACTTAAGAATCAAGCCAAAATTGTTTGACCAAATAAACTAAAATTTTGTTTCTCCATTTTCCAGAACTGTGCTTTGATGTATTTTACTTCTGCTCAAAGGTGTAGTTAATAACATGCATAGCATCCAGCTTAGTGTGTGACATCTAGGATCCCTTCAATAAATTTATTGAATGAACGAATGAATAAATGCATGCATGCATGAATGCATGCATGATTGGAAATACTAGAAAATCAGTGGGTTCTTCAAGTACTTTATTGTAAAATTGCTTGAATAGTTGAATGTTAAGCCAGAATAACCAAATTATGGAACCAAGTTAACTAGATAGGTACATTTTAATAGATAAATTTTTAAATAATGACAGAGCCGGGCGCGGTGGCTCAAGCCTGTAATCCCAGCACTGTGGGAGGCCGAGGCGGGTGGATCACGAGGTCAAGAGATCGAGACCATCCTGGTCAACACGGTGAAACCCCGTCTCTACTAAAACTACAAAAAATTAGCTGGGCATGGTGGCGCGTGCCTGTAATCCCAGCGACTCAGGAGGCTGGGGCAGGAGAATTGCCTGAACCCGGGAGGTGGAGGTTGCTGTGAGCCGAGATCGGGCCATTGCACTCCAGCCTGGGTAACAAGAGCGAAACTCCGTCTCAAAAAAAAAATAAATAAATAAATAAAATAAAAATAAAAATGTCTAAAAAAATAAATAAATAAATAAATAAATAAATAAATAATGACAGAACGCTTCACAGAGTTTTGTACTTCTTTGTTTTGAAAGGAACTGGGCACATGCAGGCAGCTACTGATGTAGGAGAAAAAAGACTACCCTGAGCAGATTGAGGTTTAATTAAAATTAGGTTTGGCTCATTTGAATTAATTCTAGTAATAGACTTGTTAATGAGGTGTTACATGATCACCTTGAGAATACCAGAGAACTGTCAAAAACTAAGAGAACTGAGACGCTTTAAAAAAAAAAAAAAAAAGGCATTCCAGGATAGTTCGGTGGCACTTGCCTGGAGGCCCAGCTACTCAGGGGGCTGAGGTGGAAGGATCGCTTGAACCCCAGAGTTCTGGGCTGTAGCACACTGTGCCAGACACTGCACCAAGTTCAGCCATCAGTATGATGACCTCCCAGAAGTAATGGACCACCAGGTTGCCTAAGGAGGGGTGAATTGGTCCAGGTTGGAAGCCGAGCAGGTTAAAACTTCCCCTTCTGATCAGTAGTGGGATTACACCTGTGAATAGCCACTGCACTCCAGCCTGGGCAACATAGTGAGACCTTGTCTCAAAAAAGAAAAGAAAAGAAAAGAAAAAGCATTCCAGGATTCCTATGCAGAAGGCTTAGAAGTGTTGAAAAAACACAACCTTACTGTGAGGGGGCCATAGAGAGAGACTTTTCCTGCCTGTCCTTGGGGGCTGACAGCTTTTAACCGTCCCACCAAGCACCATGCTTGCTGAGCCCAGGAACGTTTGGGTGTTGACTTTTTTCTTTATTGTGTTTTAAAGTAATTTATTTTACATTAGAAATTCATCAAAATATATATTAAGTTTTCTGGTAAGCACAGTTTTATTCTTACATACACTATAGCAGTTTATCTTATACTGGGAATCAGACTAGATTCCTCCTGTTTTGTGACTTTCCGCCTAGAATGCTATTGTTTA